TTATTCCCTCTTTGGATATATAAGTATCCTAGAAAGAATACAGATTAAAAAAAAAAAAAGAAAAAAAAAAGAAAAAAAAAGAAAGAGCCCTGGATCAAATCTACCCCCTACCCAGGCCCTGCACACTCTGTAAGTCAAACTCAGACCATTAAGCAACTAACTTGGAAGATACATGATTGAAGCCAAACCACTATCAGGTTAAGTGGTATACGCACATTTTATTCAGAAAAAAAGCACAAAATATAAAGTCATTAAACCCTCAAACAACTAAAAATGTACCAAGTATTAAACACTAAATTCACCAATTATACAGTTTTTTAGTTTGTCTTTCATTTTTCATGTAGTTTTTTCTTTAAAATTTCCTTGCTAAAACGCAAGCTATTAAAATGCTTCTCAAAGGGTCTCATGAACCTCTAAAGGCATCTTATCACCATCACCTCATTCAGCTTTTTATCTCAAACATTAATTGTACATGAAGAATCAAAAACATTACTTTTACAGTTTAAGTAAATTAAAACAAACTCTATACAGCTTATGCCTTTGCCTGATACATTTGGACCACACAAAGTGTCTATACACATTCCTAAAATGTATGCATTTTGTATTTAAAATCTAATGGCCTGTATGAACACAGTATCATCAGACTTTCAACAAAACACAGCTTACTGCAATGGCATAAATAAATTGCAACAGCTACTTAATGACCTTAAAGTACACTAAAAATCTAAGTGCACTATGATATCCACATTTTGATTGAATATTTGCTTGGACATGCAAAGTGTAACATACTAATGTATATTTACTGATATATATTTTTAAATTAAACTATGTTTAATCATCAGTTTCAGGAAAATTATGAAATTGAATTGCAAAGTATTTATTTTTGTACAATTTGAGACAAAATTCAGTGAGATAATTATTTTCCATTTTAAGAAAATTTCAATACATACTCAGGTAACAAAGCAGCTAGAGTTGGGAACCTGAAAGTTCTTGGTAATTGATACCACATTCAACATCTGTTATTCTTCCATTTTAATCTAATTACTTTTCTAGGTTACTTTGTACTATTTGCATCATAGTATCTTTACAGGATATAAAAGCTGCGAGTTAGTTATACCATGGTACCACATTAATGCATTACTTAGATCTTGCTATGACAATCTCTCATCAGGCCAAAAAACATGCCAATGTTTGGCATGTCTTTAATTTGTTAAAGACAGAATGGATTCTCCGTAGTCTCAAACCCACATACCTAACTACTGTCACGCCATTATCTTTGCTCTTCCTGCAACTTTTACCACAAGAATTCCTCTTTTAAACAGATATACCTAAAGCTCAGCATCAGAAAATAAACCTGGTTTTGTTGAAAATAATTCAAACATGTTTCTGAATACACACTTCCAATAATACCCATCATACTGCAAGAATATAATCTTTCCCAAATCCCAATAGTGATAGTGCCCCAGATTGTCCAGCTGATTAAGAAAACTACTCTTTAAACTTAGGAATCCAAAAACTTCTTTCAAGGTACCTTATTATACTGTTTACAAGATGGGTGTTTATCCTATAGAAGACTCCTGCCTCAAATTTACATCTACAATTCTGTCCTAATTCATCTCTATGCAAGCTCGTTCCAGCTGGAAAGCCTACTAACTGCTTAGACTAAACACAGATGCAAACTGATACTGAAATCTAGACTGGTCTGAGGATCCTTCCCTTAGAGAAGAAAGCCACCAACTAACATGAGTAAAAATTAATTTACCAGTTTGTATTTTATTGGGAATTTCCGACTTTATCAAAATAATTTGCTCTATGTATACTTTATTTTCATATACAACCAGCAGGGTTTCTAGACTGTAACATTCACAATAGTGCATCCTCATTATCTAAAAATTAACAGAATTTAATTCTGTTAATTAACTCTCCCACCATGACTTTAGATTTACACTCATGGAGCCATCTGCAATATTCACAACTGTTTCCTAAGATACCTTCCTGATGACAGAAGAACACCTGTACTACAGGCAAATCGTAATCTAATACGGTAATGTGGCATTTGAGAACAAGTGACAGAAGGTCAGCACAACAAGAGCTCAAAGATACACACATACATAAAAAGACATTCTCCTAGGAAAGAAGCCTCCCTCCCAAATAACAGTTGACAGCCAAGAGCAAAAGCATTTCCATATAGATTTTGACATTTCAATGCTTTACTTTAAAGCTTCAGAATACTCAAAGACATAGAAGACCCATGCTCAAGGTTTCACTTTCACTGAGAGCTGTTGGTTAACATTAACAGCAGTAAAGAAGAGTACTGCTTGCTCTAGTTCATCAGTTTATAACTAATACGTTTAATGTAGAACCAGAGGTCTAAGCAGCTAATTAAAACAGAAATGGACAATTTCATATACTTAAAATGTGGAGTCAGGCAAAAGAGCTTGGGATGATCAGCAATAAAATACACTAATATTTAGATTTAAACCAAACAGCTAACGTACTCATGTACAAAGAGACAGCACCTTGGAGCTTTTACACAACCCTATTTGAAAGCAGCAAAGCTTTACAGTCCCAACTAGGGGAAAGTCCCCAGACAGCATTAAAACTTTTGGACAACTTCATCAGACTGGCTTTTGCATCTCTGCCTCACAACTATGCTTGCTTTACTACAGCCACAAAGAACAGATCCTGATTTTTAAACACACATGCATGGGTCCACTTGTTGGGGCACACATATATTCTTATCCCACTCCACCTTATCAAAGTTGGTTTAACTAGTAAAAGGGATGTGAGCGGGCTACTTCGCACAAGTAAAATTGACAAATATTCCTCTGAAACAGCAGTCAGTTATTTAATCTAAAGCCAAATCCCCCACAAAATTTACTTACCAAGGCTGCAAATAGGCCCACAGAAGTGGCCAGGAATCCCTGTACTAGATACTGAACATCACCCTCCTCACCACCTCAAACCCACACGCACCCCATCAGCAAACAGACAATTTAAAAAAGACTAGGCACAGCTCTTGCTACTAGGAGTTTAAAGTCTTTCTGCAAACAATGGTTTCCACCTCAAATTAAATTTCACAAAATTTCAGTATAATCTTTTCTCTAGGTTAGATTTAGGTGACCTGAAAAGATTAAGGACAAAACTATTATATATCCCGGCAATTGTCAGTTTGGCCCCCATATTATTGTTACAAAAGATCACCTTACGGGAAAATCTGAAAAACCTCTTGCATTAATTCTAGAAGAGCACACACAAAGCATAGTGAAGAATAAGGCAGAATAAACAAAGGTTTTATGTCCAGAGGTGTAAATGAAGATTACTAAAGCAAAACACCACAAAATGGGACTCAAGCTCTCAAAGAACATCCACCTGAAACTGCCAGTCATCTTGCTTATGATCTCATTTAAGTGCATTTCAAGCAAAACCATCAATAGCTGTCTGTAGGACTGCTTAAAACAAAAAATAACACACACTCCCCCCCCCCCACCCTGCCACGCAATTAGTGTTTGCTCCACTGCTGTGCCAGGATGTGTCAGTCTGCAAGAAATGCAGGCTTGCTTCTACTGACTATGATGCAGCTGACCGCATTCAGTTAGCATAATGATTCTAGAGATCATTAATAGTGTTGTGGACCAACACAATAATGTTACAGGCTGAGGTCTGGTATCAGGTCAAAAGACACATCAAACAATGAATTTCTCCAGCATTTTCAGCACAGAACATGGACCTCAGATGTTCCTCCTAACTGTGCTAGAAGACCTATAAACAGCTTTATTATGAAACCTCTATTATGGAAGGTAGTCTTCATCCAACCTCTGTACAAATGGACGAAAAAAACTCTCATTCACATGGTATTTTCAGATCAGTACTCCACATGTGCTTTGCTGTACACAAAGCTAGACCCTTAAAATACAAAGTGTATGGAAATCTGTATTTTACTCACCTATTGCCTCAGCAATAGTTTCTTTCCCCTTGGTAACCTGCAAATTTTATTTCCCATTTTTTGAGATTTCAGTAATAGAATTAGTTTGTAATAATTTGTCCTTTATGAAATTACAAGAGGTTTAAGTTAAAATATTAAGTTTAATATAAAGTGGTAATTTAATAGTGATCTCTAGCACACAGATCTCTGTGGGCATTTAGTGCCTGATGCATATTGCCCTACTCTGATAAATAGGGAGATTCACATCAATAATTCTGTGAACGCTGCCATGCATAAAGATGCCATATATGGTATAAACACAAGTAGCTGCAGTTAATCAGATGACATTCACTACTGCTGAAGAGACAAAGGTGTTCAGTTATTAGGCTGTAACTGTAGTTGTGGCACTCTGCCCTATGCCACCATTGAAACTGCTGTCAGAAAAACCTCAGTAACAGCATCACTGAATTAAATGTTTGCTTGTCCAGTCTAATTCAAATAGCTTCACATTTACAGTGATCTTGGTAAGTAACAACTGGGAAAGCCCAGAACTACTTGAAGCATTTTTATCAGATCTTAAAAGGAATAAGGATGTCTCAGAATACAAAGGAAAAAACAGTTCTCGCTGGGGAAAAAAAAATAATAAAAAAAAAATACCAGCCTTGATTTGTCAAGGACAAGGGCACATCCTGTGCCAGCAGGCTCAACTCTACTGCCCTGAAGCCATTCTGCTCCATTTACTGGAGTACACTGGTTTATATAAGCATGTACTAAAAAAAGAGAGGAAGCTTTCTACAGTTTGAACCTGAAAGACATTTTTGTAGTATTATGCAAACAGGGGTAAAATATGCAGATTTAGGAGCAAAAGCTGTAGCTGTAGAAAAGGAAAAGAAAGATAGCTCATGTAAGAGCACACCAGAACAGCTGTATGGAACAGAGGTAACGCATCACTTTTGGAAGAAAAGCAAATGTTGTAAGTCATTAGCATAACAGACAAACCTTTTCTTCTGAGCTGTAATTTGTGCTGTAACTAGCATCAAAAATACTACCAAATGCCAGTGATAGCAACACTTACCTTACACCTATAAGTAGTGCTATCAGCATTGAACAAATAGGATCTGCTATCATTAGACCATAGTTCTGCATCAATATAGCAGATATGATTACACCAACACTTCCGAGCGTGTCTGCAACAATGTGTAGAAATACACCTGTAAGAGATTAATTGATATCAGTACAACTTGGTATTCTGAAAGCTAATGGAGTATTTCAAAGACAGTTTACGAAGAAGAGTTGCAAGAACTAGACAACATGATTTATGCTTGTTAAATTTGTGGTCAATTTTTGGTCAAACACACACAAAATGATCACAGGATTTCAATGTATTTGGAGAATATAGAGCATTTAAAGGATTTACATTATTTTGTGCACTTAGCAGTAAGGACTATTTCATGGCATGGCTATCAACTTAAGCAGTGATTAACAGATGTAGCTCAATTTTTTTCTTTCAATACCCACCCATATTAAAGAAACTCATGTTCCCTGATGCCTACAGGCAATGATAAGTACTGTATAAGATGGAAAGACTGTTAAGAGAAAGCTCTGTAAAGGTTTGAAAGATGCTTATGTTTCATTGACAATATCTTGCAGAAGTTATTTGGCAAAGAAACCCAAGACAAATGATTTTGAGAATTAAACAATACTGCAGACATGAACAACTTCACTCTTACTTTGAAGAATAACACACTAACTTAAAAGACAATGAAACAAACACTTCGCAGCTAGCTAAAATTTAGCCTTTGGAGCTCTCTGCTGGCAATGATGGGTACAGTCTTTCAGAAACAGCTTTTTGAATACAATTGTCCAGACTCAGATAATCCTTCCTCACAAAAACAACACACAACTATCAATCAGCTCTGTAGTGACTTTTCCAAGTCTACATTTGTACTGGGTCTTGCTGGAATGGAGTTCGGTTTTCTCCATAGCAGCCTGCATAGTGCTCTGTTTTAGATTTGTGACTAAATCTGCATTGATAACACACCAATGTTTTAGCTATTGCCAAACAGTACTTGTACAGCATCAAGGCCTTCTGTTTCTCACTCTGCCCCCACAGCAAGTAAGCTGGGGTGGGCAAGATGCTGGGAGGGCACATAGCCAGGACAGCTGACCCAAACTGACCAGAGGTATGTTCCATACCATATATCATCATGCTCAGCAATAAAACTGGGGTGTTGTCTTTCCAAAATAGTTGTTGCTCAGAGACTTCCTGGACATTGATATACTGGTGGGAGGTGGTGAGCAAATGTCTTTGCCTCAGTTTTTTTTTTTCCCCCTTCACTTATTAAACTTTATCTCAATCCAAGACTAGTTCTCGCTCTTACTCTTCTAATTCTCTTCCCTGTCCCACTGCAGGAGTGGGAGAGCAGCTGCTGGGTACTTAGTTGCTAGCCAGAGCTAACCCACCACAGTACTGAAAAATTAAAATAAAATTATATAAAATTGAGTCTTTTTAATGTGCTTCAATTAAAATGTGCCTTTCATGAAAAGACTGACTTTCAAATATCTTCTAGTGAAGTACTGAGTATACATATACGTAATACAGTATACTATAAATTCTGGAAGAGTTTGAAAATGTTAATTTTCAAGGACTACAAAGAAGCCAGAAATTCATCCAATAAGATAAAACAGTATGTACACTTGGGTATGCCAAATAATTACTATCTCTTACGTTACATAATTTTCCCCCTCTAACTTTTGAACACTTCAAAAAAAATTAATCAAAGCTCAAAACTGACATCTAAATTATCAGTAATTTATTTACACTAATGCTTAGGAGATCATGGACTCCAATACTCCTTCAAGCAATTTAGAGTGAATTATCATCTTGTCTAAACCAACTGCAATAGCTTGATGAAATGCAAGTTTTAAGCTCAGGTATACTTTAACAATTATATTAATCTGCATTTTTCAAATACATTCTATATTAATAATACTGTTTTTCACTTTCCAGAGCCTACATGGCAATTAGGCTCCTTAGGTTTCTGCTTTTAACCACTCTTTCCTATGTTTTTATTATTTGATTTTTCAGCATCAGGAACAGAAGCTGAATCCCTGCTTTTAGGATCTCCCTTTCAAACCGTGTTGACACTGCACTACACTTGGATTTCAGTGAATGTCTCAACGCCTAGCCATGCACAGTGTATGGCACTGTTCTGTTTACAGCAGAAGGGGACTTCATAAAATAGCTCCTCTAAGAAAAATCTAGCGTTTACCCAGAGGCACCCTCTAAAACAGATGTGTGACAAACAGTCACAGGCAGGCAGACCATGATAAAACTAATAAACCACTATACTTATTCTCATCATACCTTGTAAAATCTGTTTGCTGGATCCACCCATGCCTTCAAGAGAATGGTCATCTGTGAAGACAATTATTGGCATATTAATGTACACAAAGGCTATCTCTAGTGTTATATTCTGTTATGGTCTTCCCTTCTAAATTTCTTGAACAGACAAGGTGCTCACAATGACTGGCCTTTACTCTAGCTACTGTTTTTTAACGCAGCAATTAAGTTAGAAGTCTTAAAACACATATTTTTTAAAAAAGAAAATACCACTTTACACAACAGATTTTATATATGTATTTAGAAAAATTGAAAGATCAATATTTATTTCTTAATGGAAACAAACTGAGAAATAAGATCTTTCTAGTATTTAGCAAAGTAAGGCCCCCTCAAGAATACAAGCAATACACACAAGCAAGAAGAGTAAGGTCAAATAAATTTGCTAACCAGAAATATTTCACTTAAGCAAGCATTTTATACCTAATGTAAAACAACAAGGATAACACTTGGAGAAGGTAGAATCAAGTAAAAAAATCCTCTCATTGAAGCAGATTAATGCCTTTGTGGAACATGTCAGAAAAGTATTTTAAGAAAAACTTGTTAAAGGATAGCAAATGACTCCTAGTGAAGATATATACTAATTTAAGCAAAAGCTGATTTGAATATCAAATTGCACAAAACAGATCGCTACATTCGCTGTTCCACTGGGGTGGGGGACATGGGGAGAGCAAGGAAGAGGCAGAAGGGGGGAGTTCCTTCTTTCCAACCAAACTCCAGGAGAACACTTGGAAAACAAGCACCAATTTTTTACTAAAAATAGAAGGGACAAGTAAATATTTTTATACTCTTTGTCACTTCCTGTCTGCAAGTTACCACACTATTCCCTGCTCTGAATGTGCACATTTTCAGTCACATCAGATTCTAGTTTATGGCTTAGGCAGGAAGGATTGACAACCCTGCATTACAATAAGGCTTTCATTTGCATTGTTTCAAATAGGTAGTAACCATACTGTCTCTTCTCCTATAGTGAGAAGGTTACTGATCATATTTTGCATGGATGTCTCTTCACAGATTGTTTGCCTTTATAGAAAAGATCTAAGCATAGCTAAGATTCCAAGTACCTTTTTCATAACCAGCTTTAAAACAGATTACAACTACACAAGACGGGGAAAATCTTGTATCCCAGATCACAAAACAAGCACAACATATCAATCCCTCAGTATCCAAAGCAAAATTGCTTGTTCATCTTTCCTAATATCTTGATCCGTAAAATTATTCAAACGGAGAACACTAGCAAAGCAGCTTAATTTTGTCTATTGTTTTTAATGAAAAATTGAAACAGAGCACTCAACTAATTTCATTATATTGTTATACCATACATCTGTTTTATCCTTCACCAACACATAAGATTACAGTGAACATTCAAAAAACGTATGTAAAGCAAAACATTTAAAAACTAACACTGAACTTACTGCAAGTGAAACAGCATTTACCAAAATGAGCCACAAAACATGGCAGTGGCACAGCACACCACATTTAGTGAAACTACTTCCATGTATGCTCATAATGAGCTGCCAGTATCCTCTCTTTTTTTTTCAGTAAATCATTAATAGCAAATTTAAATTGAGTCAAGATGGTCTGTGACATTAGCTAAGTACTTACCATGACAATAATCCTGACCTTGAGAGTGTCCATGGCTATGGCCATGACCATGAGTGTGTCCATGGGCATGTTTATGTTCATGGCTGTGACCATGACCTCCATGACTGTGTCCATGGCTAAGACCACCATTAAATAGAGAATGGCTGTGTTCATGCCCTATAAACAAATATCACAGTCAGAGTATAAATTTAAGTGTTGAATAAAACTATGCTTACATTTGTTTCTAAGCTACTCAAAACCTATTCATCTTTTAGGTCATCTTAAGGTATGGCTTTAAATAAGCCAAGACAATTAACACAAGCTGTTTGTCATCCAAATCTATGCTGTGCAGCTGTATAAAACATACACCTGATTTGAGAAGTCAAGTGCTTTTATAGATTCCCACTTCTGAGATAAGTTGTGTTACAGTTCTAGTACAATTTGAAAAATGTACACGTAATTAGATACAAGCACATTAAAAATAGCTGTTTTAAGAAACGAGGAATTGGCTGTCATTCACACATTAAAAATTCAAGCTTAAATTGCTGCTTAAAGACCAAAGACTATTTTCTTCCACTAGTCTGTATCAGTTTATGTGTTAAGCTGAAAGAGATATCAATTAGCTTTGCAGAAAAAAAACAAACCCAAAATGTTTACCATATATATTTAGGCAAATAAATTCTGCATTTAAATTCAAGACACTTAGTTGAGTAGCACGTGAAGCTGAATCATTCCATACTTAAAATTTGGTTCAGACACTGTTTTGTAAATTTTCCAGCCAAGACCTTGCTTAACTCCAGCTTAATTTTGTCCAAAAGACACTCTGCAAATCTCTTCCAATAAGGTGCAGAAGAGTGCATGTTCAGAAAGCAGGTTCTGGAGTTCTAGGTCTTCCAGTTAATGGGTATTAACATGAAAAGTACAGTAGCGACATACTAGAGCTAGTGATAAAAAATAAAAGTCAATATTGCAACAAGTCACACATACATTTGGCTAGGATTCCCACTAAAAATACATTAGAATTTAATACTAGGGTTCTCATTGGAAGATTATAAGGTCCTGGAGCACAGGGTGCCAAGAAAGGAAACTACAGAAAATTATAGACATCCTACCAGAGCCATGTGAATGCCCATGACCTCCATGTTGAAAAACAAATATTCCTATTAGATTTACAATGAATCCTAGTATAGAAACAGGAAGAAGTCTCTCATGATGCACGTCAGGAGGCTCAAGTGCTCTCTAAAAGAAACCAAACAAAAAAACCCCAAAACGACAAACCAAGAAGCAAATGTAGAATTTTACAATCTCTTCACATTATTAAAAGGGACTGAAAAAACTTCTTAGATACAGAGGCATTCTCATACAAACAAGCATATATAAAGACATAATTAGAAATTATTCAGTACTTTCAGTTTTGGGGATGGTACACAGACTAATTCTTACTGTCTGAAGTTGAAGTTTTATTTATTAAAGCTGTGAAAGTAGAATATTCTGATAGTCTAACTAACTTTTATCGTAAGATTTCATTATGCTGTGGGATGTGGCTCAACACCATATGGAAACACTTAAGTTTGTTGTAGTACATGGATTGCTCAAGTCATCCAAACAACTTCTAAGGGTCTAGAACGCCATTTCTTCCTTTCACCATAGAAGGGTGAGGGGATAAGGGGAATGAAATTAAGACTGAGAACAAATTGTGGCATTTTTTTAAAAAATTATAAAATCCAGATTATTTTTTTAAATTCTTTTTTACCCTACTTTCTTTTAAGTTTTTTTCAATGAGACATTATAGGCCTAACACAATTTGCATCTGAAGCTGTGCTGAAGAGCGTAAATTACTATTGACAGGGGAGAGGAACATTCACCATCTGTCCACAGGAATGAAAGGCACAGGTTATAGCAAGACAATGAAACTTCCAGCAGATGTAAAATTTTGAAGTGACAGAGAGAAAAGAAGTCACCATCACAAGCAAAGGGAATACTAAGCATGGGAGCTAAGACCAGCAGGAAAAGAATGATGTTTCAACATTACCCTTGACCCTTTCAGTAACAGTTTTTAAATTTTTCTAGTAAGTTTTGTTGCTGTTTCTAGATTTGGAGTGAAGTTTTCCCAAGCTTTTAGGCAATTTCAGCCCAGTTTGTACTGATTTTGAAGTATCTACAGTCTTATTTATGTAGAGGATATGTTCCTGAAAGCTCTTCCCAGTTCTCTCTTAATTAAAAACCACACTAGAATGTATTCTGAAATAGAAGTCTAAACATATTTATAGTGTACCTCCTATTAAAAAGTAAAAGCATTAATGCAAGCTGATTAGAATCAGTTATCAATTTTACTCTTAATCCTACTCACTTCAGTGCAGACACCCTTGATGGCTAAATTTTAATCTTGAAATCACCTGAACCATCTTGCAAAAAAAATTCAAGAAAAGTGCCGTTGTAAATGTTAGCGCTGTTACTAGTTGCCATTTATGTTAGACTTCAAGATTTGGAAGATAATGCTTTTTCTTTAATGAGTTAGTCCAACTTTGTCACAGAATGTGACTTATGACTAACTTCTGTCCTCTGAACGACTAGTTTTGGCCTTTCCTTCTTGGACTCATTTGTCTAACAATGAGAAGTAAAGAACTTCCTATGACATACTTAACTGGCTGAAAAAAGGACAGGGTAAATCTCACTGAGTCTTTATACATGTCCTGGTGACAACACACAATCGAAATATACTGTTTAAGAAGCTAGTATAGACACACTGAAAAAGCTGGGTTTCTGTGTCACAGAACAGCTATTTCACATGGCCTTATCCTCTGTTCAAATCACAGATTTTTAATCAATATTTTTCAATTTTTCCATTTTTCCCCATTAAATATGCTCTACAAATAGAAACGTGACAATTGATAGTGTAACTGACTTCATAACATACCTCAACACCTTCCGAAAAAATGAAGAATGCTGTAAAGATGAGGAATAAACCATTTACAAAACCAGCAAGTACTTCTGCTCGAACATACCTGCAAGACACAAAAAAGCAATAACAGGTATTACCACCTCCATTTAAATGCTGAAAATTAAAAGTGGACCTTGGAGACTGCAGTACAGTCTTCTAGATCTCAAACAGTTGTATTACACAGGGGCTTGCTAAATGGAAGATGCAGTATATAAACTACAGATAAGTATTTGAAATTCAGTATGTTGTATTTTCACAGAAATTACCTAATCCAGATCAGCCATTACCAGATCTAGATGAAAGAAAACTTTCAGTATGTCAACATCTTCCCATTTAAGATCCTCTGTACTGGAAGTTATGGTATAAACTTATACTTCGAAGCCACAAAGATAAGCATATGAGATGTAATCGAAGTCTGCTGGTATAAAGTTCTGTTGAATATCAAACAGCCATACAGTAATTCGGTCCCCCTCTGGTAGGGGGATTTTTAGTAAAAGTTTTGAGAAGAAAATAATTATTTCAGCTATGAAATTTTTTCAATTAAAATCAGCCAGGTTAGAATAACATGTAATTCCAATGCAGCAAACATCAGACTTTAATAAATTGTGGCCGTTCTCTAATAAATGGAACACCAGCTGTTTAAATGCATAGCAGTAATTAATACAGAACCTGCTTTCACTGCAATTAGTTCATGGTACAATCAATTCTTCCTAAATTGATTTCTAGGCACACTGGAGTTTCCACCTTAATTAAACAGTGCTGTTAAGTTTCAAACTACATGATCCATGCTTAGGTGAGACAGCTGAAGCTAAATGCTGACATTCAGGTCAGTAATGCTATGGGGAATGCAACAACCCATGTTATAGTTCATTTGCTGTTAATTAATCAGTATCACTCATTAATAATATTGTATCACCAGTATTGTTTTACAGGGCACAACTGCAATGTGCAGTGGAACCAAGTGCCCTTGAAATAGAACCAGCTGCAGCAGCTCTATCCATGAAGGTTGGTATGGGACAATATACCTCAGCCTTGAGGATCTGTGTTAATGGTAGTCACAGCTGTTCAGTCCTGCTGGTTCTGAGAAGCATAGCTTATAATCTCAAGCGCAGCATCACTGACACTGAACTCCTTTCAGTTCTAACTTTCTGTTCCAAAGAAGACATGGGGCATCAGCAGACTGAAATTCCCTGTAATGCACCTCACTGCACTGTGAGGACAAACCCATGATGCCCCATGATGTGGCTGCTCTAACTTCACTGGTGCCATTAGCACATGACAGTGCAGGGCAACCTCCTGCTGTGCAACTTGTTGTTTCCACTAGTATGATCACAGCGATCTTAGAAGTGATAAATCTGCCCCCCAAAAGCAATGCCTTCACATTTTTACTATTTCTAAGGGGACGTTAACTTAAAGGTTTACATAACTCACCTTAAAAACCCACACTTTCAGCATAGCTTTTACATGTTCTGCAAAAAGAGGTTTTGTTCATACAGTGAAAAATGACTACCTAGATATTTACTAAAATACATTAAGGTAACAGCCTGAAGTTTCTTACCCATATGAGAAAGCATCATTTGACCTCCATTTTGAAATAACCGAAGCTGCTAATCCAGCCAATAAAGCAGTACAGTCAAAAAACATATGAAAAGAATCTGATATTAGACCTAAACTGGAAAAGAACAGAAAAAAAAAAAAGTTATGTTCCACATGCTACATGTTCAGTATGAAAAAAACAGCATTTGCATTTAATCTTTTACACAATAGCAGAATACACTGTGTGTCTAAGCTTCAGGCGTGGTTTTGCTAGCACAGAGGAGAAATCCTCACTCCTCAAATCTTTGCCTTATCAGCTGCAAGGTATTGACTAGAAGACACACTCCTCTCTGATCTAGAAGCTGAAGGAAGCAAAGGCTGAAAGACCACTTCTTAAATGGTTTATTTCAATGACCAATGCACAACTACAGCCTTGACTAACACACAGAGGAAAAGTTTAGCATGATGTTTTACCCTAGAAAGTTCAAAGCAACTTAACTTAGTTCACAAGTTACCTGGTCAGTAGAACTCGTATCAGTTTGTAGGCTGTATGTAAACTGGATTTAACACCACGCACAACAGTTGCCAAGTTTTACTAAACTACTAATCATAAACAGGTTCTGTAAGGCTGCAAGGAAGTGTGTGCATCAAAACACAAAAATTGCTTCATATTTGAAGAGACATTTGATACTGAGGTACTGATGAGCATTTGTTATTACAAGTGTCCTAAAAGTTCCATTTCCCCAGTCCTTTGGTTGTCTAAGAACAATTATGTACACAACTCAGTTCTTAGAAACTGAAGAACAAAAAGCAGCTACTGGTAGTAATAAGTTCTAGAGGATAGCCACCTTTTCACACTTAAGTCAAATACAAAGTTTCATTAACCAAAGTTTGAACTACTTCACATTAAGAAACCAAACAATTTCAACCTGACTGAAATCAATTTCAAGATTAATCTGAAGTGTTTCAGATGAAACACTCAACTGTGGAAGGAGTGGGTTTAGAGGACAGAGAACAAAAGTCTTGCGCTCTCTATAGATTTACATATATACTTTATGGACACATACAGAGGTATATATACATACAACTACAACACATTTAAGGCAGAGGGTGATGGTATGATAAGTTGTCCTTAGATGCTCTAGCCACCAAAGCAGGAAACAGATGAAGTCATTCTGAACAAACTTTAAAGGAAGACCAAAGGTTTTAGCTGGATGCCTATGAAGCAGCACAACAGAATTCCCTATCAAATTCTTGAAGAGTATAGGCGACAGCTTCCCCCTCCCCAAAACCAGGTGACATCCCTAGGGAAACAGCTCATTTTAGGTTTGGTTCTGAGCATTAAGGAAGATCCGGTGGGGAAAAAAACCACACAACACACCAAACATTCAGATAGAAGGTATTTAGGGTGACAGTTAACCCTAAGTTTGTAATGATTATGAAATGGAAGGAATAAGCATGGGTAAACAGAGATAGCTAGTGGTTTCTGAGTTGGGGTTTTTGTTTTGGTTTTTTTTTTTGTTGGTTTTTTGGGGGGTTTTTTTTTGTAGAGTCTGCTGGGAAAGAGAAGACTGTGTAAGGATCGTTACTGAAACAAAATCCCATAGTAGGTCTACAACCAGAAATCATACAGCAAGTTGTCATGGCACTGTGCTCACACCTTCAAATCTCACAGAGACAAGACTTACCATAGGTGCAACAGCAACACGGCTGTGCTGCTTTCAAGACCTAAGCTAACATCTCCAAGTAGCCAGAGGCATGTGGATTTATCAACAGGGGTCAGTACAGACTGTGTCTGCAGCACAATTCACCACATGGCATAAACATACTCTGTATTGTATGTACAGCTATAACTGATTCAACTGCACAAACGACAGGAAGCCTAGTAAGAGGACAATCCGATTTCATCCAAGTTTTTTTTTTTTTTTTTACATGACCTGTAAATTAACGACACTTTAAAAAACTGGGTGCAAAGTGATTAGTTACTAAAGTAAACAAGCGATCCAATCAACCGCTAGCAACATGGGATGTATGAAGAACTTCCATTAGAACTGGAACACATCATCCAGAGTATAATCTAGTAGAAACCCTGTACTCAAACACATTATGTCTAAATGAGGATGCTTCCACAGTTGATTTAATAACACAAGTTTAAAATCAAATTACACAAGTATGCACATAATAGTATTTTAAAACAGAACAGCCCAAGTAGCAGATTTCAACTTTAAACAAGCTCTCAGCTCGCAAAATACCATATCCAGTTTTGCTGTCCGTGCTTCAGGAACATCAACATACCACAGTATTTCTAAGAGGATCATATAAATGACAAAACAGCTACGTGAGTTCAGGAAACAACCTACTTGGCAAACAAAAGCTAAGGAGAATGTAAGAAATTAAGAATTAAAAAAAAAAAAATTAAAATTGAAGACTTTTAGAACTTGCTGACAAAAATTTGGGGGGCTGAAATTATAGATTTGATTTTGAGATAAGAATATCCCAGCCAAAGAACTTACAGCAATCTGCTTAAATTTAAACGGAGAGAAGTGTACTTTTCAGAATCGCAATTAAAAAGAAATTCCTTAGTCTGTGGAAGTCAAGGGAAGAATCATCTGAATAATCATATCAGCCTGTTAGCCTTGCTATCTTACACTCGCTGACATCATCAAGGACACAAGAGAGAACAGAATTCAAGATGACGCTTCTAACACTTGCGGCATCAGGCACTGGCCATACCCAAGACAGGCCACAGTAGAATAAAGAAGTGCTCCAAGATGATACAGGAAATGCCCTTCACAAACATTCTGTTTCTGCATCTCTCACGTGATGAGCAAAGGAGCTGTGCTCTTCAAACTGATGAAATAATTTTCCCTATAGGGCTCCTTGTTTGCTTGTTGTGTGTTTGTTCTTCCAAGGCATGAACCATCTGCTTTGACGGAAGGCATTCCTCATCATATTCTCTGCTACTCCTGTCTACGAAAGAGATACTTGCTAAGATACTGTTTTGTTCTAGCCCTAAATCTAGGCTTAATGTAAAGATACCTGATACTAGTGACTTGAAATAGAAACAAGAGGCCCAACTAATGATTATCCAACAAATCTGAATTCTTAATCTCTATAATGAACAAAAATAAATAAGAGTCTTCTCAATTCCAGTAAGCCCAATTCTTCAGTGACATGTTTCTCGGAAGTGTCACTTCAGTTTCTCCATTTAATTATCTCACATACAGGACTTTTTCTGGTACAGATTTTATTTCTGGTCACGCTATCAAAAAAAAAAATGCTTAAAAGAAAGACATTGGAACAAACTCACATGAACATAAAGCTCTTTATACCTGAACCATTGAGAAAAATTGTTGTATCCTCTGAGCTATTACAAAAAACATCCATATTCGAGTAGACCGGCTACGTGTACAATAATCCTCACACAACTGAAAAGTGAATCAAAGTGAACCAACATGCAAGTCAAAACCAAGCACACCCGAGATGGTCTAGCACATTGCCATGATACAGTCTATGCCCAAGATAGCACTGTATTCTGACTAGTACTACACTAGCAACTACTGTAATCAAGGTTAAGGATTTTATAGTACAGTTTGGGAGATTCAGAGAAACATGATAAATATTAGGATGCAACTGTTTCCAAATCTGCATTGCTGCATTGACTCAAGACTCTTGATGAAGAGTCCCAGTAGTCTGTGTCCATATTACAGCTTTTGATAAGGACTACTTTAAGTTCCACATGGAAGGACACACTGTTGGGCTTAAATGATGTCCTGGTTTCAGCTGGGATAGAGTTAACTGTCTTCCTAGTAGCTGGTACGGTGCTATGTTTTGAGTTCAGTATGAGAAGAATGTTGATAACACTGATGTTTTCAGTTGTTGCTCAGTAGTGTTTAGTCTAAAGTCAAGGATTTTTCAGCTTCTCATGCCCAGCCAGCGAGAAAGCTGGAGGGGCACAAGAAGGTGGCACAGGACACAGCCAGGGCAGCTGACCTAAGCTGGCCAACAGGGTATTCCATACCATGGGATGTCACATCTAGTATAGAAACTGGGGGGAGTGGGGGCGGGGAATCGCTGCTCAGGGACTAGCTGGGTGTCGGTCGGCGGGTGGTGAGCAATTGCCCTGCGCGTCATTTGTACATTCCAATCCTTTTATTATTATTGTTGTCATTTTATTAGTGTTATCATTATAATTATTAGTTTCTCCTTTTCTATTCTATTAAACCATTCTTATCTTAACCCATGGGTTTTGCTACTTTTCACGATTTTCTCCCCCATCCCACTGGGTGGGGGGGGGAGTGAGCGAGCAGCTGTGTGGTGCTTAGTTGCTGGCTAGGGTTAAACCACGACAAATGACATTCCCATGCCAGTCCACTTTGAACTGAACTACTGACACAGAGATAAAAATACCACCATCAAACAACTTCGCTATCAAGAATAAAGCATGATGGATATACTACCACCATTGTCTGTTCTCTACCTGTACACCATACATCAGTACTGAAGCTATTTTGCATTCCCGCTTATATTTTACTACAGATTTTTCAGTAGCAATGTAGTCAAGACCCACCTGTTCCTTCCACCTTTGTGAACTTACGTGCTATATAAAGTACCACTTAGCTATACCTGGATGTGTTAAATCCAGTTTCTCACTCAGGGACATGGATGTCCGGCGCGCCCCTAGTTTTTGCCACCCAGCTACCAACTTACAAATGAAGCCACGTCCCCAGACAAAGGACCTCTGTGGCAACCGGCAGTCACGAAACGGTTCCAACCCCCGGGTCCCCTAACTCACGCCAAGGCCAGGCTTCCTCCTCAGCAAAGAGCCGACCAGCACGGCCAGCAAGACACCAGTTTCAAAGCAGCGTTCCTCCATCACGCGCCGAGTCGCGCCCCCACGCAGGAGCGCTTCCCCCCTGAGATCCGGCTGAGGGGGTGACAGAGCCGGTCGCTACCCACGAGAGCGCTCCCGCTCGGGGGAAGCTCCCCAGCAGCCCCCAACGCTCTGCCGAGCGGCCCCCTCCGGACGGCGGGCCAGGAGGCCAGGCCCGGCCGCACGGCCCCGGCCCCGGCCCCGGCGAGAGGCAGACGTGGCACTGGCCGCGGCGGGAGGCGCCGCTTCCTGCGCGCTGGGAGCCGCTCCCG